GCGGCGCCCACCCCCGGCTCCTGCGGCGCTGGAGCCGGGCGCCCGGCCCCTCCTGGCGACCTCTCCCCGACAGTCCCCCCTGGCTCCCTCCCCGCCTCCCTGCCGGCCGCGGGCCCGTGCGGAGAAGTACACGCGCCGCCTTCCCACGGGTGACCTCTCATCCGCCCGGATACGTCCTGGGGAACAGGGCAGGAAAGAATGGGTGTTTTGTGGGCAGAGATGAGGTAGGCGAGGTGCTTCGGTCCTTACTTGTCACTCACCTGGATTTCACTTGCGCGCTGTTTTTCCACCTCCACCAGGACATGCTTTTCTCCATGACAAGGGAAATGAGGGACCCTTATGAACGAATGGAAGGATATTTGTCGTAGCTGCTACGGCGTTGAAAAATAGGCTTTGGGGTCTAGTCATCAACGCCTCAACATATAACTGAATGAATGCTGGGTTGTGTTCTGTAGACACTGTTAAATTACTGGACTACTCGGGAGGCTGAGGCCGGAGGATTGTTGGAGCCCAGGAATCTGAGGTTGCAGTGAGCTATGATGACGCCACTGCACTCTATGCCGGGTGACAGAGCAAGACTGTCTCAAAAAAAAAAAAAATTATATATACATGGAAAGATCAAAGCATTGCAATTCTGTTAAATTAGGCCTTCGTAGTTCAGAGAAAAGGGAGAACAGAGAAGGGTTTTACAGGTACAGAGGTCTGCTTGGATCTGAAGGAGGGGGGTGAATCTAAAAGGATAATCGCTCAGGAGACAAAGGGTGATAGGGTCCAAAGAGAACAAAGAGATTTTTTTTTTATTTTAAAAAGTTGTCTAGATAAGAAGGTGGGATCAGTAGGGGAGTCTACCCCTGAAGAGTAGCAGAAATGCACTACGTAAATTCATAATATGATAGTTTCTGACATAAAACAAGGTATTTGAGAATGGTCCAAGAATGTTTTCATCTATTTATTATTTAAATGTGCCACCTACTTGTTTAACCTTTTCTCCACTTGTTGATTTGGGACACTGCATTTTAAAGGCCACTGAGTCAAGTGTGAAATTGCCTCTGCCCTTTGGCATGGCAAAGTAATGTGAATGCTATCTTTTATCATATTTATTTGATTTATTCATTTTCCAATTGACCCAATTATATATACTCTTTGTCTATATTTTATATTAGAATCATCCCAGAGGATAAGAATTATTTATGGTTGCTTGATGAGGACCTAACTCAGTGCTATCAATAGTAACTAATAAATATTTATGATGACAAAATTATAACATACTTCTTCCAGAGCATAGTAAGGATTAACCTGAGCAGCAGGAGCTTTAGGGAGAGAAGGTAATTAAAACTAACAGATTCGTTGTATAACTCAAGCAACCACAGGCTTCTTTAAATGCTGTGTTCTTGAAATTAACCAAATAAAAAGTAAATTTGTTAATTTATCTAAGGTATTTGCCAAACTAAAGTTTCCTGTATTGAAATAATAATTTCCCAAGTCTTAACCTTGAGTTATGCATATTAGTGCATCAGCCAGATTGTAGCAGCTATATAAAAAGCATCCAGTCAAGTCTTTCCATCTGGGGACTGGATACTGATCTATTATTTACCTTAATGACCTAACAAAGTTCAAATTATCTCCATTCACAAAGGCAAAGCCTCAGCATCTTTGATGGAGTTAATGAGAAGCGGTGAAAATAGCTTCAGCTATTTTCCTGGCCTCTCTTCACCAGGGGGCGCCAATCACTTATGAAAAAATCAGAGACAAGCGATGATAACTAAGTTAGAAATGGTGGTTACACCTGTATCACCTTGTCTGTATTCCACCTGGAGGAGTAGTGTGCTACATTTATGAACTGTCCAAACATACACAAGAACCAGAGCCTTAAAACTTACTCACTCTGGGGCCCTGTGAGCTGGCCTCAACACTACAGTCTGCTACTCACTTCTCTCGTGGTTCACAAATACCAGTGACTGCCCAGAACCGAAGCCTGCTTAGTCTAGTTGTCTAAAGGGAGACCTACCTGCACGACCACTCACCTGGAATGGCAGCCATCTAAGATTTTGGTGGCATCATAACAAAAGAAAAGCAAATACAAAGATCCCTAGCATCTGCAAAATTTTGAGACCAGAGAGTTCTTTGGTGTGGATTGAATAAAAATAGGATATTCACAGTTATCCACAAAAACTAAAATAGCGGATATTATTATCATAAAAGATTTAAATAAAATAGCAAAATATGTTTAAATGTCTAACAGCCCATACAGAGTTAACAACCTAAATCAAGCTATTTTGATTATTATTATTATTATTATAGGTCCTAGTCTTTATATCCTTCCATGTTGGCAATATTGCTGGCAACTTGGGCTTTCAAAGAAGAGTGAACTTGAACTCGGGAGCCTGTTGAGTCAGGAGAAAAAGGAAATAATCTGATTAAAGATGAGCTTGTAGAGAGACATTAAATCTTCTAGAAGTAAATTTTGCTAAATGAATACTAATATATTTACAGGAAATGCAGAAAATGTCTGATAATACTGACTGGTATTAGTTCCTGTCTTTTGTTTGATTCCGTTTACCACTCCTTCTCCATTTCAGAAAGATTAAAAAAAATATGCAGTATCCATAATACAGGTGCTTGACTAATTTGGAAGTACAATTTTTGCCATAAGACATCTTTTACTGTAAACCTAAGACATTTACTCTTCTGTTAGCTTGTGTGTAATTATTCATTTTATTAAATGGATACAGATTCTCCTGATAATACATAAAATAACAATAAAACGAAAACTCCCTCATAATCTCTTTCCCCATTCTTAACAATTTCATATGCTTATATGAGCCTTTTTTCTTCACATAAATGGTTATTTTATGCTACTTCATAATGTTTATTGGAATTTGTCTTTAAGAATTGCCTATTTTCCAGGCAGTGCCTGTGGCTCAAGGAGTAGGGCGCCAGCCCCATATACCGGAGGTGGTGGGTTCAGGCCAGGCCCCGGCTAAAAACTGTGGGAAAGAGGAAAAAAAAAATAAAAGAATTGCCTATTTTCATTCTTTGCGTATTTTCCAATAATTGTGTCTATTTTTCTTATTGATAAGCAATCTTTATGTAATAAAGGTGTTGACAGATTGTCTCTTATATATGTTGAAAATATATTTTTCCAGTTTATTATTTTTGTATTTTGTATTTTAATTGCTATAATTTTCAACTAGGCATATTGGAGGCTGGAAATAATTTAGGCTGATTCACCACCATCTCTCCCGGAACTTTGAACCCCCACGCAATCCCTGCCAGTTCTGGTACACACTTCTAAGTTACATATACTACCCCTTTCTCAAGAATTGCCACGACACATTCTTTGCATTGAATATTCGTTATTTTCATGTCAGCCAAGATGTATGTCCAGTCCATATTCTTTCTTTCATAGATCAAAGCCATTGGTCCAATCTTTCTTCACATAGCTACACTTCAAGGCCATTTGCTACACGTCTAGTCATGCATTCAAGCATCTGATGATGAGAGTGCCAAACCGTGGTGCCCCTGCCAGCTCTCCCCAGCTTGGTTATACCAAGCAAAGTCCTGTCACTCTCAGCTGAATAGTAGTGTGTGGGCTGCCATTCCCGTCGCTCACCCCATCCTATGACATCTCCGTCTTCACCAGTGAGGTGAACCTTGCTGAGACATCTGATAATAAGTTGAAAGTGTTAAGGGGACTGCCTCTTCACCTGCTCTCATCCTCTCATTACTGAAGAACCATCTGGTTTCACTGCAGAAGACAAAAGGAGCCCCTGAGAGGAAATTAACTCACCACAATAAAGGAAAAAAACTGGCTGCGTATCAAGGACTTATTATGAAAACCCAGGACATCAGAAGGCTTTTGGTTCTAGGCCAGCGTTTAGCTGATTCCGGAAGCCATCTGCACCAGCCATCCTGGACGTGTGGGGATGCTCAAGGACAATGGCCGTATGTAAATAAATGGAAAGACATTTGCCAGTCAGATGTAATATTTTGGGCTCAGCAGCTGAGTGGGAACCATATAAAAATGAATGATCCCCCTCAGACCTTGGAGAAACTACCTTGACCCTGAAAAATGCATTCACAAAACTAAAACGTGACTAATAACTGAGGGGGAGCTGTGGCTTCTGTAGCATGACTGGCATACCTGGTCCCTCTTTCTCATCCCTGGTCACGGCTTCTCCCCTTCCCCCGACCTGTGAAGGTCAGGATGCCTTCTGGCTGCTTTACACTATGAGTTTGTTTCCTTCCTGTCATGGCATTGGGCGACATCTATGTTTATAACCTCCACGTGTTTGTCTCCAGCTGGGATCCTCTTTGTGCTCATATGTCACATAGGGTGTGTGAATGATACTTTTCCCTGTAACTCAGATATCTTGAACATCAGCGTGTTAAAACCTGTCCCTCCCCTGCCACAATCTGTTCCTCTTTCATATTTATTTCTTTTTGCACACTCTGAAAGTCATCATGACATATTATTCTCCCTTACAGCCCATGTCTAACTCACAATCAACTCTTACCAATTCCACCCACAAAATCTATCTTTATTCCTTCCCCTTCCCTCAGCTCTACTGCACACACTTGAATGAAGCCTCCGTCGTTTCCTTCTCACCTTGACACTCCACTTCATCCACCTCTTAACTGCTCTCTGTGCATCTGCTTCTTGCCCCTTACAATTTATGAGTATCTTTTAAAATTCCACAT